GGTGTGGTGGTGGTGTTGTGGTGGTTTGTGGTGGTGGTGGTGGTGGTGGGTTGTGGTGGTGGCGGTGGTTTGTGGACGTGGTGGTGGTGGTGGCGGTGGTGGTTGTGGCGGTGGGTTGTGATGCTAGTAGTGGGTGTGGTTGTGGTTGTGGTGGTGGTTTGGTGGATTGTGGTGGTGGTGGTAGTAGTGGTGGGTTTTTGTGGTGGTGGTGGTGGTGATGGTGAGTTGTGGTGGTGGTCGTGGTGGTGGTGGTTGTCTGGTGGGTTGGTGGTGGTGGCGGGTTGAGGCGGTAGTGGTGGTGGTAGTGGTGGACGTGGTGGTAGTGGTGGTAATCGTCGCTGCGTCTCCGCCGTCGCAGGCGCCAGCGCCGGCGTTGCTGGCCGCCGCCAGCGCCGGCGCCGGCGCCAGAGGGGGGGGGGGCTCAACCCCCTGCCCGCCCGGGGGCCGGGGAAGGGGGTCGGGGTTTGAACCCCCCACCGCCTTTGGGCTGCCTCTGGTCTTCGTCGCTGCGTCCCCGCCGTCGGCGCTGCTGGCGGCCGCCAGCGCCGGCGCCGGCGCGGGGGGGGGATTCGGGAGGGGGGGGTTTGGGGGGGAGGGGAGCCCCCCTGGTTTTTGATCGACGGCGCCGAGTGTTGGGGGGGGGCCCACCCCCCGGTTCGAAACGCGCCGCCGAATGTTCCCAAGGCGAGCGCCCGTGAAACGCGTTTTTTTCTGAGATCGCGATGACAATCGTGACGTTTGCCGCGGCAAGGGGAGACCACAGTCATATCTAGAACTGACGTTATGATGTCACTTGGAATCTGCGGAGCCGGCGCGAAAGCCGATGAGACATTGTTCGACTTATACGATCAATTGAGGATGGTCTTGGGGAACAGAGAGCCTCCGAGCGAACATATGAGGCTTCCTATCCAGGAGCGCTATTTTCAGCAGCTGGGGAAGTGTGGAACATTGAAGTCGGCACTGCAAATGCGCGACTTCATCCTGGGGGATCAAAAGGACCATGTCAAGTCGCACGAGCGGCTGAATGCCCAAATCGAGAAAATGATGTTGCGAGAGGTTGGGGTCGAACAGGATTAAGAGCGTGAGTGATCTTAGCGGGGGGGCGCCCAATGCAGCTCCAGTCCTGAGCGAACAACGTAGCCCGTACATGGGTAATGGGACGCCCAATGAATTATTTGCCTGTAGGCTGTCTGCAGCAGGGAAGTGCGCAGACAGGCGAAAATGCTTAACTTCGGGCAAAGTCAGGCTGCCCCAGTCAAAGAGGCGAACCGGGACAAGAGCGACATGAGCGGTAATAAAGATCAGAAGGAGAAAGACCAACAGAAGGACGACGACAATGACGATCCGAAGGGGCAGGGAGGCCCTTGCGGGAGGGATGCCACCCCACGTGCTCAGGGAGGGGATTCCGCAGTCCCTCCGAGCTTTTTCTCAGAGTTCTCGTGCGTCACTCAGGTTCTCCACCTCGACTGCGGGTGGGCAGAATATGCCTTACTATGCTCGTAGCCAAGGAAGTGGCGATAGGAAGTGTGGCGGTAAACAAGGCCGATGGCTCACCGGAGCTGAAGGTCAAGCAGGATGCGCGGGGAGAGCCGCGGCCTGCATATGGCAAACTCCTGCCATATGCGCGGGCCGATCAGCAGGCCAGCGCCGCGAAGGCAAATGCGAAGCATGGCGCCGCGGGCGAGCGCGAGGGCGGTGGAAAAGGCTGAGGCATGGGCAAGGGCAAAGGTGAGGGGGCATGTTGGTACTTGAATGGGAAGGGCGCGTGCGATTTGAGAGGCAAGCGTCACTGTCGGGGCGAGACGCCGGGACATCCGTGATTGCAGGGCGTCTGTCTCCGGCGCCGCGCCCTCTCCTGGGACCGTGGGCCTCGCCTCAGGGCAAGGTGGGTGGGAAGGGTGGTCGGGGGGTTTGTTGGGGGCGTGATCCCGGGCTCTTCTGCCCGCGCACGCGTAAGCTGATGGGCCTCTGCGGCGCCTGCTTTGCCCGTGGCACGGATCGCAAATCATGGGGCGGAAATAGAGGGAAGGTTGAGCCTTGGTACCGTTGATGGCATGGCGCTTGCAGGGGAAGCAGAGCGCGCCAGTTCGAACCCATTCATCCGCGTGCCATGGGATCTCGCGCCCAGACAAGTTGTTGTGGAAGCCACGGTGTCTTCAAGACAGCAGAAGCCCATTCTGATCGTCGCGGCCGCCGAGTGCAAAGTCGGTTCGGTTTGGACCGAACTTCGTCCTCGGCTGGGGACCTAGGCCAGGAGGTAATCGGCGGGTTCGGGGGTGGTTGCCGAAGGAGTGGAAGGCCTCCAAGGAGTTGGGTGGGTGTTTACCTCTTCTAGACGGGGGCGGCAATTGCGAAGGAATCGCGAGGCTGCCCAGAGGGCCTTGCTTGAGGCATTGGAGTTGGAACATGTGGTTTGGCGCCTCTGGGTGAATCAGGAATGTAATTCGCGTCGCCTAGACAAGAATGCCTATTGCGGTTCGGTCCGCTAAAGGTTTATAGTGGACACCGGACGCGGGTACAACCTAATCGCAAGGTGGTAGGTGCCTGAGGCAGGTGTCATGGATCGCGTGACCGCGTTGTCGATCCCAGTGATCTGGAATGCTACTGGGGGTCAGAGTGGAGCCCTTGGGCCTGCGAGCATAGCCTGCGACAAGCTTTTAGGTGGTAGCTCTGAACCCATAGCGATGCCGGAAACACCCAGTGATTTGTCGGTAGGTGAAAGGGTCGTCGACTTAGGGTGTAGCTTCGTACTGGAGCATCCAAATGCGCCCTATTTGGTTCTTCCCAACAGGAAAAGAGTTCGTCTCGTAGTGGACGGTGAGTTTCCAGATCTCACTATCTCGGGCAGGGAGGCGCTGGGTCCAGTGGACGTGGCAGCCTCTGATGAACGAGTTTTCGAGCAGTGCATTGCGTGGTGTCAGGCGCCGAGACTTTTCTGGGCGATCCAGGCCAAGCGGGAGAGCCTCCGCTCTGGTCCGCCCAGAGCTGCGCTATCTGCGAGTGAGACGATTGCATCGCGCGGGTTCGAGGAAGGAAAGACTAAATTTGTGGAGGGATCCGCAGAGATCGAGGGACCTGTTGGCGTTATGCGCCAAGGGTGGCGGCTGGTCAAGGATGGGCAGCCGGTCCGTTAGGGGCCGTCGCTGTCTTGCTGCCACCAGCTTGTGGCCTTGCCATTGGTGGTGACGCGCCGTCGCGGCGCGTGTCCCAGGGCGGGGTCGCTCCCGCGCCAGCTGGGCGCAGGGCCGATGCCGAGGGCGGAGATGGCAGAGAGGCCGAGGGGATGGAGGTGGTCGATCTCCCCCCCGAGGACCCAGCAGAATTTGAGGTTGAGTTGAAGGGTGACTGCAGAGGTGCTTACAGAAGTGTAACTAGAGAAGTGCTTACAGAAAAAATGGTCGACGCGTGGGAAAGGCCTCGTGCGCGAAAGCCCTGGGCCCCTCAAGACAAGGAGTGGCTCGTCGAGTCCTTGATCGAGACGGCAGTCCATGCTGCCAGGACGTGCGCCGACTCCGTGGGCTCGACCCGTGATGACGGCGTTGTATGAGCCTTTGAAGTGTGCGTGGAATGGCGTGCCCAGGAGATGCGCGACGACGCATGGCGGGGACTGTGTGCCAGGGCGGCCACAATGGATCCCGACCCCGCCAACGCGGCTGAGGTTGAGACGACCGTGTCCGAAGTCGTCGGAGACTTGGACATGCTCGGAGAGGATTGGGTACACGCGGATGTTCGCGTCACCGCCTACCAGTGAAGTGGTTCGTGCCGCTCGCGGCGCGTCCGCGCCGAGTGACGGACAAGGCGATCAGCCTCCCGCTGACTTGCAGGTGGGCGCCAGGAGCAGTGGCTCTGCCGCCGCCCCGGAGGTCGCGGTGCCTGTCCCGCCAGAGGCGGTCATGGGGCCGTCGGCGCTGGCGGGGAGTGCCCAGGCGGAGCCAGGGGTCGGCGGCCAGAGGCGCTGCCTCCGGGGCAGCCGCGGGCGGTGCCGAGAGGACCGTTGACCCCCCGGTTGGTGAGGATGCCCAGGATCACAGTTAAGTCGGGCCTGTCCCTCTACAGGGGGAAAGTCCAGAAATAGGGGAACAATAGTCTGGGGACTATCTTTTGATTTTTTTTAACATTTGGGGGTATGTTTTGACTATTTCTTATTGTTCGCCCAAAACCGGCCTGTATGGGGGACAGGCCCGACTTAAGATCACAGCGCCCCGCGCTGAAGTGGAACAATAACTCGGGCGCGGACTGGCGCTCGGCTTCTCGTTAAGGGGGGGGGGGCCGCGATGAGAGGCCAGCGCCTCGTGGCGTTGAAGACAATCGGGCGACCGAGTCGCACAATCAGAGAGGAAAGGGGAAGGGCGGGCCATCGTCTGAGAGAACTTTCTAGGCCTGTCGAACGCCAATCAGGCTACGTCGAGCTACTTTGGCCTGGCCTCAGCAGCAGGAGTGAGGACCACGCGGATGGGCTGCGCTGCAAAACGCTTTTTAGGGGTGGCCCGCCCCGACGATGTGTCCTGAAGGCTGGCGCGCGAGGGCGAGGTGGCACCGTGGCCCTCCGCGGGGGTAGTCGTTAATGTCGATCTCCCTGCCGCTGGCGCTGCCGCTGCTGCCAGTCGTCAGTTTGACGTTGGCTGCCGCGGTGTTTTAATGCTGACGTTGGTGCCTCCGCAGCAGTGAAACGTCAAGGGTCCAGAGCGTGTTCGACGCTCGACCTGCTAAAAGGGGCTCGCGCGCGGCCACGCCCGCTTGGGTTTCTCATCATAATCCTTACGTCTGCTTAGCGGACATCGGTGTCCGATGACGAACGTGAACACGCAGGAGTTTCTCAGGAACAAGAACCAAAATGACGAGTTTCCTGAGTTACGAGACCAGAGTGAAGAACGCGCCCACCTGTCGAGATATGACTAGCATGTGGAGCATGCGGGAAAGAATTGGAGGGATGGGTGGATGGATGGGGAGAGAAAGGGAGAGGAGGCGCGTTGGCGTCGTGGTGCGCTCGCGGCGGGCAGGCTCATCCTCGGGAACCGCCAGTCCAAGGTGCAGCGGCGCGCTCAGCTGTCGGCCCCGATCACCACAGGGGCGGGGGGGACAGGCGCGGGCAACTCCTCGGTAGGAGAAGAGGATCGAGGAGGAAGTGGGGGGAGGAGGTGGCGGAAGTGGACGAGGCGCTGGAGCCTCCTCCTTCTCTCTTCCTCATCCTCGAGCTTGGGCCCTCGATCTCCCCCTCGAGACGAAACAAACAACAGCATAGTGCAGCAGCAGAAGTCACAAACATCAACCAACCACAGCAGGAACAGCATCCAGTAACAGCAAGCAGCAACAGTTCAGATATTCCACACGTGTATGTCTACAGGGCCGATTCCCCTTGTGCCAGAAATGGGTTCCCAGTCTTCCCACTGATCCGGATCGATACACAAAGTAGCCCTCACAGCAGAGTTGCTGCATGTTCCTTAGCTCCTGGGTGCTCTGAGCTCGTCTACAAGGTGATCGTTTCTTCCTCTCCCCCTCCACCCCGTCCTCCGCCCTCCTTCGTCGACCTCGCTTTCACCACCTCTTCCCTGACTCCTTCTCCTTCGCACTCACCATCCTCCTCTTGCTCTTTATTTTGTTATGGCTCTTGCTATTGCTATAGCTCCTCATCTTCCTCCTCACCATCACCAACGTCATCACCATTATCACCGTCACCATCACCATCACCAACACCAACACCATCACACTCACTATCACCATCATCATCATCATCATCATCATCATCATCATCATCATCATCATCATCATCATCACCATCACCATCACCATCAGCATCATAATCGCCAACATCATCACCACCACCATCATCATCACCAGCATCATCACCATCATTACTAATCATTGTTCTTATCAGTCTCAGCATCACCGCTACTATCAGCAACACTCTCATCATCATCAGCATCATCATCAACATCATCATTATCACCACCACCATCACTATCATCATCACCATGATCACAATCATAATCACCACCACCACCGCCAACATCATCACTACCATCATGATGCGTATCATCACCATAACCACCATCATCATGCTCGCCATCACCATCATCATCGCCCCCATCGTCATCACCACCATCATCACCATCATCATCATCATCATCATCATCATCGTCATCATCACCATCATCATCACCACCAGCACCATCGTCACCATCCTCATACTCATCATCGTCATCTTCATCCTCATCCTCATCCTCATCATCCTCATCCTCATCATCATCACCACCACCATCATCGTATCTCCTCCTCTGGCGGACTGGCTTCTCCATGCTCCGTCCCGCTGTCGGCTAGTGGAGGCCATCCTTCCAGCGACGGCCGCCAGTAGGCGTGACACATGCGTCACAGGGCCACTTATTTTTTTTCTGCTCAGACGATGAGCTTTCGTGCAGTATCGAGAACGCCTTGCCGCCCGACGAGTGCTCTTTAGAATTGGGAGCCCCTGCCTCCCGCGCCGCCGTTGGTCCGATCGGCCTCCGCGCGATCGCCTGGTGGAATCGTCTCCAGAGGTCTCCGAGTGCCTCTGGAGGACCTTGGAGCCCTCCGATGGCTTCCTCGATCCACCAATCGGGAGCAGGGCCGCCCAGCTGGCTTTCGGATGTGCTCGAGACGACACAGTGGCCTCCAGAAGCCCACCGAGGGCCCATAGGCTCAAGAACGGCCATAGAGCGTACCCTCGAGTTCGACGACGACGACGACGACGACGACGACGACGACGACGACGACGACGACGACGGCACGAGCAGGGCCATTGAGTCATGGCTAAGGATTTCCCCTTCGGGACCGCTCCCGTCATCCTTAGCCAACCAGACTAGCCAGCAAGCGCCGAGGTGGGGCGTGTTGGGGGCCCTGTCGCTCGTCTGCATGGCCTACTGCATGGTCCTCCACCGGCGCCGCGGCCACCCAGATGGATCGAAATCTTACATTGTGGAGATTGGACGTCAACTTTTGCTGAGGTAAACATGTGCTCCCGTGGACCCCAAACAGTGTGATACTGCACTCTACATTTGCGAGCTACTGCGAAGGCCTTACGGCCGGTGCCGCCGACTCTGAAGGAGGAGGACGACGACGACGACGCTGACTTCGGTCAGAGTTCTCAGGGATTCTATTTGGGGTCTCTTCGGAGCGCTCTCGGAGGCCTCTGGGGGGCAGTTTTGGGGTCTCCCTGGGAGCACCTTGGAGGCACCTCTTGGGAGCCTCTTGGGGCTTCCTGGGGACCTCTTAGGGGCCTCTGGAAGCCTCTTGGGGGCCTCTTGGCGGCCTCTTAGGGGCCTCCTGGGAGCCTCTCGGGGCGGAGGGCTCGAAATACCTGTTTGGTTCCCGTTTTGGGCTGTCTTCGGGCTAGTAGTGGTAGTAGTGCGTGTAGTCTTCGTAGTAGTCGTAGTAGTCGTAGCAGTAGTAGCAGTAGTAGTGGTTGTAGTAGTGGTCTTCTTCTTCGTCTTACTAGTAGTGGTAGCAGGAGTAGTAGTAGCAGTA